TTAGTAAAAATACCCTCTGTTAAACGGAAAATAGAATTATTTAAAGACAAATTACATACACTTACATAAGTATAAACTATATGTATGTATATAATATATATGTTTGGTAACTAATAATCTAAACTTTATCTGTCATTATTTTACTCGGGAAAGAGTAAAAGAGTGAAAACTCCCTCATTTGAACAAATTGATCAAAAGTTGTATGAGTGGTTTGTCAGCGTTCGGTCAAAAAAATTTGCCAATTTCCGGTCCAATTATACAAACAGAAGCTATGAAATTGGCTGAAAAAATGATTGTCAAAGAATTCATGGCTTCGAACGGTTGGCTAGAAAAATTTAAAAAAAGGCATGACATTGTTTGGAAACAAGTTAGTGGTGAGGCTAATGACGTTAATCAAGAAACTGTGGTGGAGTGGAAGCAAAAAATATCAAGACTCATTGCTGGGTATGAAGCAAAAGACGTGTACAATGCTGACGAAACGGGTCTTTTTTTTCAGAGGTATTCCTACTAAGTCACTAGTACAGAAAAGTGAGTCTTGTTCTGGCGGGAAAAAAGCAAAGGATCGCTTAACAGTGTTCATGTGTGGTAGTATGGCTGGAGAAATTAGGAAGCCATTGGTAATTGGCAAGTCTAAAAAACCACGGTGTTTTAAGAACATGGACATTTCTTCGTTACCTGTCATATGGAAATTTAATAAAAAAGCCTGGATGACAACAGAGATAATGGAGAAGTGGTTGCGTTATTTTAACGCAGACATGCGATCTCAGAATAGAAACGTCCTAATATTCTTAGATAATGCTGCATGTCACCCAAAGATCGAACTATCTAATACGAAAATACTTATGTTGCCCCCAAATACCACATCGATCACCCAACCAATGGATCAAGGAGTGATTTACACGTTCAAGTCTTACTATCGTAAGTTTTTTGCAACAATCGTTATTATGCAAGATGGATAATTGTTCTTCAGCTCATCAGCTCGCTAAATCAATAAGTGTTTTGGATGCAGTCAATTGGATAGCGTTGGCTTGCGATAATGTAAAAGCTGAATGTGTACAAAATTGTTTTCATAAAGCCGGGTTTCTTTCAAATGAAGGAACCAATACCAATGGTATAAATTTACCAGAAAATGCTTTGAACGATATTAATGAGGAATGCGTTATAGCCAATGTTGATGTAGAAGATTTTATTACATTTGACAGTAAATTAGAGACGCACCAAACTTACGATTCGGCGATTTTTTTAGAAGAAGAAGAAGAAAAAGAAGTAGAAAACGATGATAATGATGATAGTGAGACCAACGATGAGCCAAAAATAAAAGATTTTAAAACTGCAATCTCATACTTAGAAGAATTACAAAGGTTTTCAGCCACCATTTCAAATACAAATCTATTAGAACTTACAACAAAAGCCCGAGAATATGCTGAACGTGCTGCTCTTAAACACAAAAAGCAATCAAATATTAAAAACTATTTTTCTTAATTATAAAAAAGGTACAAACATTACTTTCATTTTTTTTTAGTATTATACAAATTTAAATATTAAGTCATATATGTATAATAATCTTATTGTATAAATTTACGTTTTACGAGGTATTTACCTAAAATATGATATAATTGTTTTAATACATACGTACACATACATAAATTCTTGAAACATTTTTTTTTACCTCTCTAAGACGGAAAACTCTTTATAACGGAAAAATTGTTGGTCCCAAGCGATTCCGTTATAGAGAGGTTTTACTGTAATATCAATCTGCAATAAATTAATTCTAGAACATTTGGTAGCTAATGTTAATAAATCTAAATCGTTCACCATTTTGGCTGATGAAACGATAGATATTTCTAACAAAGAACAAATGACATTATGTGTTCGTTATGTCGATTTAAATGCAAATAAAATTAGAGAAGACTTCCTACAATTTATCAAAATATGTCAGAAAAAGAATTATCTGATGTTATATTGAAAAGTATGACTGACTTCGGACTAAATACTAAATATTTAACTGGGCAAGGGTACGACGGAGCTGCAGCAATGAGTGGCAGATATAATGGCGTACAAAAATTTATTCGCGATGAACATCCTAGTGCCTTTTATTTACATTGCAGTGCGCATTGTTTAAATTTAACTATAACTTTTAGCTGTAAAGTATCAGAGGTAAGAAATTGTATGGGTACTATACAAAGTGTAAGTAATTTTTTTCGGTTATCCAAAAAGGCAAAGTATTTTGCAATTATCAATAGTAGAAATATTTCCACAGAGTAATCGTTTTAAACTAAAAAATCTATGTGCAACTCGATGGGTCGATCACCATGATGCAGTTATATTATTTGAAGAACTTCAACCAGCCATTTTACATGCACTAGATAGAATAACACTTTGGCCAGATTCTGACACTTCTAGTTCTGCAAGTCATCTACTTCCTGCGATAAGACAGTTAAAATTTCAAACAGCTTTAGCTATTTTTGTGAAAATACTTTCCATAAGTTTTCCTCTCAGCCGATATCTTCACACTGTAAATCTTGATCTAAAAACTGCACTAGAAGCTGCATCTAATGTTCAAAATACTATTCAGAAAATTAGAGAAAATTGTGATGTAAAGTTTCAACAATTAGTTTTATCTGTGATAACATTGTGTGAAAAATTTGATATTACTGTTAGTTTGTCACGTCAATGTAAATCAGATAATCCAGAATATTTTTTTGAGAGTCTCAGTATTCATACCTTTTATAGATAATTTTCTAGACCAATTGAACGATAGATTTATATCACACAGGATTGTCTTGAATAATTTTGATTGTATTATACCCAAGATAGAAATGAAAATATCTGAAGAGATTAAAGGTAAATTCAAACAATTAGTAGAAACATATCAAGATATAGTTGATGAATGTACTGATTCAAATCTAAATGATAATTTATTAAACGGAGAATTAGATTTTTGGTACACTAAATATTCAATTTTAACATCTTCTGAACTCAAGAACAAAAATGTAATTGAACTATACTCCCAAACCAGTCCAGATATTTATCCAATAATATCTAAGCTTCTTCAAATATTCATTACACTTCCAGTATCTACTGCCACGGGAGAACGATCGTTTTCAACACTCCGTCGTTTGAAAACTTATTTGAGAAATTCTTCTGGACAAATACGTTTAAATGGTTTAGCCTTACTTAATACTTATCGTGATATTAACATGGATATTAATGATGTTCTAGATGAACTTGCTAAAAAATCGAAACGAAAATTGAATATAAATTTATAGTTTTAAAAAAAAAATAAATATTTACATATTTCAACTTTTTATAATCAGCGTTGTAAAATAGCTATACACTTATAAAATATTTAATGTATGATAATTTATTATAGTAAAAACACATAATTCAATACAATTTTATATGTTACACTTTTATTACCCCCCCCAAAAAAAAAAAAAAAATTCTGCTGGATACGCCACTGATTACAGAATCCATTTGACTTCCAAAATTATTTATACATTTATATATTTAGATAATTTGTAGATAAGGTTTTAAATTTATTAGAATGAATTCTCAACTGATTTGTATTAATTAATTACATGTTAAAATTTCAATTATAATGATATAATGTTATTTATTTATTTATTTTTTTAATTTGCCTTTGTTCGCACATTACAGCAACTATGTTATTTATTATTTAATCATTATAGCACGTTTTTTTTTTTTTACTATTTCTTTATGACGTATTAACTATGTACACTTTTATAATTTATACAATAAAGTAGGTAGTATAATTTATTAAAAAAAAAAAAAATTAATAATAATAATATTGTACTGTATAGTAATTAAGTTAATTAGTTACATTCATACTAATAATTAAAATAGGTAATTTAAAATACATCAACCATATCAATCTACCACGGCGGACAAACGGTTGGTTGTATTTTTGTAAAATGTTCACGGCGGTCAGGAATAATTTTGTAACTTATATAAGAATCAAAATACGTAAAGACCTTCAATTCAAAATAAAAAATATAAACTAGAGAGCGAACATAAACATTATTATTATATGAGAATTAATTATTAAATAAATATATAAATATTTCATGTACCAATTTTTTTTTTTTTCGTTTGCTTGACTTTAGGTAAACAGAAGATCCAATTATTCTTTGTGGGAAGAATCGATAGTTATTTAAAAAAAGGAAATAAAAACGCGAGATAAAAAAATAAAAAAACAATTAGCAGTATACTTTTAGTTGTGGCAATTTTCACACGGGTTCGCAAATTTGTTGGCATTCGGTTTGATGATGTCAGTCTGGAGCGAATCAATTCAAGTAATTCAAGTGTTCACGCGGACAGTCTGCTTTCTGTTTCACCGGAATTTAATATTACATTATATTTTTCAAATCCAAACAATACAACCAAAGATAATAACGCTATTTCGCATTTCCAATTAAATACGGCACGACATGTCGCGCCAACACAAAAACCTGATTTCACTGAAGCCATACACCTAATTAAATGTTTTACATTTTTTTTATTCCTTTTAATGTTACTTAAAATCAGGACTAGAAAGTTCATGCATTTGCATCTTGCAAAGTTGTATTTAATGCTACATGACATAAAAAATCCATTTCAAGGTACCATGCAGAGACTTATTTTCAAATTTTGGGGCCAGGGACTTAAATAAAAAGAGGCCTCATATAAAATTATTAATTATCTTATTCAAAAAT